TAATTAAAAGTCTTAGAGGTCTTAGAGGGCTCTCTGGGTCTAACTCTTGATCTTAGCTCAGGTCTTGATCTCAGGTCCTGAGTTTGAGCTCTGCCTTGGGTTTCACGCTGGGTGTGGTGACTACTGAAAAAACAAAAACAAAACAAAACAAAACAAAACCAAAAAACCTCTTAGCAGAAAAAACCTCTCCACTCTGCCCTTTCCAAGGAAGCCCAACTGAAAACTTATAATCATCTGGTGATTTTCATCATTTTGGCTATCTAAGATACAATTTGGTATGAATAAATTCGTCTCTCTTTGCTTGTGTGTTCAAAGGAGTGTCTAGTGTGGAGTGGCCTCTGTGAATGAGGCAAAAGATTAGTGAAAAAGAAATATTGTAGTGGCAGTTTGGAGTTGCAGGAAGAGAATTAACCTAGTCAATTCCCAACTCTGCCCTTGATAAACAAGTTGCTTTTCAGCATGTTTGAACATCTGTAAAACAAGGTTTTGGATCAGATAATGTAGATGTTTTGAGTTTGTATAGTTTTAATACTTTGCATGTCAGTACTCTTAACTCTAAGTTGAGTTCATTTTAAAGATTTAAATTATAATGATAAAAACAATAAAAAATAACAATCTTTACGAGCACTTACTCTGTACTAAGTGCATGCTTATAACCTTTTTACAAAAACCTCCTGATGTAGGTAAGGACTATTATTTCCATAATAATACTCCAGGGAGGTGCAGAGTGATTAAGTAACGTGCCCAAGAACACACAGCTAGTAAGTGGTGAAGCTAGGGTTTGAACTCAAATAGTTATCTCCAAAGCTTGACCTCTTAACTGTTAACTTAAAATACACAATTAAAAAACAAACCACATTAAAAAAATTCAAGTTTATCTTTTGTTAATCATTAAAATATAATACAGTTGTTTTGCTCTACTAATAGATAGAATGACATTTTATAATTTTCTCATGGGCCCTGGAGTAGTAGCTTTGATTTTGTGCAAAGTTTAGCAGGCTTTCTTTGCCCAACATATCCATGTTTCCTATCAAAATATTCAATAACATCTCCTGACTTGTTCTTTCAATGGAGACATCCTTTCCCAGCCGGAGCGGGCAGAAGTAGCAAGAACATGTGTTGGCTTGTTCTGGAGGCTTTGGTGTGAAATAGGTTTGCATAGAATAGAAGAGCTTCTATCATCTTGCCAGCAAATGTCTTTGTTGCTGGTTTGCCTCTTTGAAAGAATTTCCAAAGATCAGTACAACAGACCCTTCTGTTGCAGAGTCTGAGAAAATGAAAGGAGGAAGAGTGGTGAGTTAGAAGATTAACTTATATTTCGACTGTAGCAACCATAACTTGTGAGGAAAAATTAATAGCAATTTATAACAGCTGAGAGGAAGAGGGAAGATGCAGGAAGGAATATTGTCAGAACTTATTAGACTGTTTATTACATATTAAATTTTTTGTCATATAAGAAGTTGTATATAATGAATGTGTATAACTTGATAAGTTTGGTGGTAAGTATACACCTATGAAACCATCACCACGGTCTATGCCATGAAACTATTCATTCCCTCCAAAAGTTTCCTCCCTCTCTCTTATTTATTATTATTATTATTATTATTATTATTAATGACAAGAAGACTGAATACAAGATTTACCCTTTTAGCAAAATTTAGGTATGCAATACATTATTGCTAACTATAGGTTCTATGATGTACAGTAGATCTCTCAGAGTTATTCATCTTATCTAAATGAAACTTCGTGCTCTTTGACTAATACTTCCACTTCCTATGACACAGTTGCCTGCTAATCTAAAGTTGAGGATGTCAGCCCTACATGAGAATAATTAAGAGTTTGGTCAAACAAGGCTTTTCATTATGCTTTACCTGAAGAAAAATTAAGTGGAAAATCTAGGTGATTCTTTTCTTTTTAATAATAAATCTGGAGAGCAGACTCTGCATGCAGAAACTTTCTATCTGCAACACAAACCAAGCATCACTGTCTGTTCCATGGGTCTGATGATGGAAAGACACTGCTTCAGCTACACCAAGCTACTTGCTTACCTGAGGGTATGTGTGTATGTGTGTGTGTGTGTGTGTGTGTGTGTGTGTGTTACCCCCAGGTTAGGACCGCATAATTCTTACTATCAACATGGTCAGTTGGACGTGGAAAGACATGACTGAAGTTAATCTCACTTTTTGTGTTTAAATACTCATTTTTGGCTTAGTTACAATGCCTTTTTGCAGGAGTGGAAACCATGTCATTATCCCATTTAAATAAATACAAGATTACCTGATTCTGTGCTGCTTTATAATTAAGAGAGTTCTTTGAAATCCTCTTTTGGTTATGAAAGAATATAAATACTTCCTTTGCCTTCTGAGGAAAGGAAGATATACAAGTTCTTTCAATCTGAGTGTTTTGCTTATATTAGAATTTCATACTCTGTGTTTTCACACAACTTTTACTGTTTGCTAACCTAATAATGAAAAATTCAGTGCACAGAAAACATCAGAGATGTTCCAAGGCATAAACTTAAAAATATGATGGTACTTCATGAAATATCTATGGAAGGGGAGATAGCATTGAGGCGTAAAATAGTACTTGTAGTTGTTCAGTTGTGTTGTTTTCTACAAATCATGGAAACACTGAGGTGGGAGGACCCATTTAGAGTTATCATATAAAAAAATGAAATGGAATAAAACAAAAATCAGGGTCTTAGATACAGAGAACAGACTGGTGATTGCCAAAGGTGGGGCATGGGAGGTGGGGAAAATGGGTGAAAGGGTTCAAAAAGTACAAACTTGGTTATAAATAAGTCACGGGGATATAATATACAGCACGGTCACTATCGTTAATAATACTGAATTGCATATTTGAAAGTTGTGAAGAGGGTAGATCTTACAAGTCCGTATCACAAGAAAAAAATTTTTTATAACTGTATGGTGATGGATGTTACCTAGACTTACTGTGTTGATCATTTCTCAATATGTATTAATGTTGAATCAGAATCTCTCCATATAAAGTTACTTTTACATCTAGCTACATGTCACACATGACCTCTTCTAAATAGTGTGTTATCAAAGTAATCCTTAAGGAGTTGACCAGAAAAGAGATTCCATGACTTTCGGGTAGTTTATTTTCCTTATTAAATGTGGAAGAGATGTTCATTGTGCCCTGAAAATTAAATTCACATATACTTCAAAATAGCAGCAAATCATGTACTTGTTTCTTTCTATTCATTCCTTTGTCTCTACCTTTTTCTCTATCTCTCAATCTTAGATACATATAGAAATATATAGATTGCCCTGTCCTCTATGTCCAAATAGATATATTTGTCTACAATGTACTGCTTCTTTAACCTTTAGAATTTTATCTAGAGTTCTGGTCTTTAAAAAATTATCTTCATTGTTTTCTTTGTATTTCCAATTTTTCATGCTCTACTCAAGTCTTAGGGCTGAAAGCAAGCAGATTATTTTGACAGAGTAATAGTTATATATTATTATTGCTTTCCATTGTGAATAACTGTAGATAAACCTTTACATTTATTTCACTTTATTGAATGACTTTGAGGTAGTAATTTGCTTCTCTGGATCTCTGTTTTCCTCATTATAATTAGAGTTACTGTAACAATTAAATTAGAATATGTAACTAATGGTCTTGGCCAGCTGGTGAGGCTTACCAGTGTCTAGTTTCTTCCTGCTCTGGTAACTGTATCCATTTGCACTTGTTCTTTTAGATCATGATTCTCTTGAGTTTTAACTGTATCTGCATTGTGTTTAGATTATTCTGTTTTGCATTTGTTGAAAAGAAAGTCTATGTATAAAAGAAAGTCTATGTATAAAAGAAAAAGAAAGTAAAGACACCAACCTTGAAGGGCCCATGTCTTGTCATGGAGGGATCAGGCAGAGCAGAAGGAATCTCAGTCTTCATTGTGAAGAACATGTTGCTTCTGGCACCTGTAAATCAAACAGTTATCTTCTTTTCTTTATCAATTAGCCCCCCCACTTAAAAATCATCTCAGATTGTGTTGTTGAACAGGTATTAAGCCATATAATCTCTGACTCAGAGTTATTTGTAGACCCAGTTCAGGAGTCTGAATATACTCAGTATTCAGTCTGCATATTCTCAGTATTTTCTGCAGGAGTGCAGAAAACACTGAATTACCAATAACAGGAAGGAGAGATTCTTAACGTTTGTTTCTTAATTGTTAGTTGCATTGAAGCTTGTCAGTTGAGTGTGTTTTTTCATGCTCTTCCTTGAATTTTGATAGTTAAGATACATTGATCTTGCTGTTTTTAATTCTTCAAACTTTCTATAAATTGAGGATTAGGGGATATTTTTGGAATTTACCTACATGGGGCTTCATTTTTTCCTGGGGTTGATTTGGAATATCAGAATCAAACCATCCACTTTCCTTCACTCAACGCCCACTCTAATCCAGTTTCTGCTCCTCATACACCAGTTCCCAGTTGAATTGTATGGATTAAAGAATGAGGAAGGTCAGCCAAGGCAAGATTTGAAGTTCCAAAGGGACTTTTTGTGGCATCCCTTTAAAGGAAGACATAAAAATAACAGACATTTATTGGAAGACACATCCAGGCTGCAGGGGCTGACAGCTGTCCCCAGATCCATAGTACATTTTTCATCATGTTAGGCTGGAAACCTTACCTTCTCTTTACTCCAGCTTTTGTCTCTGAGGCATCATTGCATGTCAGAACTTTTGCTTGAAAGATCATTCCAAACTACCAAACAAGTAATAAATGACTTAAAGCATCTCATTAATAAAAGACTGCTCTGACCTCATCCAGCACTATTTCCACCTGAAGAAGAGATCCTGATTCCCCAGGTACTTCCTTCTTGCCTGGGAGGATGGACAAAAGGTATCAGCTAGAAAAAATATATAAAATACTGATAAAAATACATATGTAAGTCAGTTTCTTACCTTATATTTCTTAGTAACTATTAATTCTAGAGTAGTTCACCTTTTACTAAATGGTTAAGGAAGTACTCCTGTTTGTTGCCAACGGTTTTATTATCCTAGTGTTATACTGTTAAAGTTTCAGCATATACTGTTTAAAATTTATAATACATCAAGTAAAAAGGCAGTTTTAAACATTTTTCTTTTTTTTTTTTTTGCTTAAAACAATTTTTATTTTTGGTGAAAAAATACAGATACATTTTTGCTTTGAATTTACTTTTACATGGCAATTCAATTTGAGGTCCTTCTAGACAAGATGAGTCTATTTTTATTTTAAAACACGTTTAATTTCAATTTTTCCCTTACAGAGCCTTTACTACAGTGACATAGTTTCCTCTGTAGTTTGGCAATGCAGCAAAATTCCCATTTCATCATAAGTTGGGATTTAAGAGGCAACGCCAAAATTCTTTGAGGATCCTGAAGACACTTTTGAACTTGAAATAAGGATTATTATGATTATTAATTTAATTCTCATGCATCACAGAAGCACAAGTCAACCATGTGTGATCTAGACTCCAGGACAAGCTTCCATTGAGAAGAGGCCACAGTGATAATAGCAAGGCAGCTTCCTCAGGACCTGGCAGCTGCTCCACAGGGTCTAAGCCCCCTCACCTCAAGATGGGCACACTGCAGGTGTTGTTGAAACAGCAGGATTATCTTAAAAGAACAGATTGCCCGCTCTTCTTGGCCATCCTAGCACATACCTTCCTGGTAGTCATGCATGACACCAGGGAGAGAGAAGGATGTTAGATGTAGGGACATTTAGGAGGTCTCTTTCCCCCCAGGGAGGCTTAGGACTGTATCCTTCTGTGTTAAAAGACACTTTATTACTTTGCATTCCATCTGGAAAAACAAATAGATTTTGAATATGGCAACAAAACAGGGAGAAATCTTCTATATACAATTAGAGATAGTGGAGCTGGACAATGACCTTGTAAAGACTCAGCTAAGACAAGAATGTTGATTAAGAAGGTAGGGTGTTCTCTAGGGGCTAAAGGCTGAAGATGAATGACCTGAAATGATTTGAAGAGCTGCACTGCTATCATGGCAACATGTATGAAGTAATGAATTCAAAATCTTCATTGTTTTGCTAGAGAATTTAGTTGTTGTAGCTGTTTCAAAGGACTGAGGCTTAATAAAATAGAGGTTAATGATAATCCCTTTCCATCTCCCTTTTTGACTTGAAACGGGGCTTATAATACATATTCAAAAATTTCACCGTATGTTAATCTAGTCAGAGGCCTCTTTTCCTTATGAGAAAAACCATGTTTTGTATTCTCACAAAGTCTGTAGACATTGTTAACATAATAAACATCACTATATGTCATATGCAAATTACACCTACTCACTGATATTTAAAAAATAGAGAGTAATTTTCAAGAACTATTAACACAAGATTTGTAGTGAGAAATGTATACAAAGGAGCTCAAAGTAAGATATTTTCTTTGGATAGATCCTTTCAAAGTAATTTAGAAAAACACAAAATATTTACACCATACTAAACTTTCCTAAATGCTCTATGATATTTTCTTATCAAACTGTATTTTGAGAATGGAGGGATATAGATATAGCAAGTTTAATGCATAAGCCAGTAGCCCTTAGCTTGAGCAAAAGATGCACTTAGGGTCTCCCAACACCGAGAAGATGACAACTCAGCGGCAACTATTTCCCTTTTCCAAGCAGCTCAAAATGCTTTAGCAAAGACCTTATGACTCTTACGTCGTTATTAGTGACATAAGAAAAGGTGACGGAGACAAGAACTGGGGCTCTTGACTCCAAGTGCTTAATCCAATAAAACACGCTGCATTTTATTTAAATGGACAAATACATTTCTTTGGTACTGCAAAAATAGAAGTTTAAAAGTTGTTAATTATTAATTGGAATTTTCCCACTGAATATAATCTTAAGATTTTTTGAGAAACATCCAGATTTACTACCACTTGAATGGTATTTGAGAAGTGAGAGTGACAACATGACCCAGTTTGGGGATATTAACTAGAAAATTTAAACTGATCAAGATCGGTTTAGGAGAGTCCAAAATAAGTGCCCAATTAGACCAATTCTGTGAGCTTTGCTATGCTCCTTTGAACAATTTGGTCCAAATAATATATTCAGCCAATATGTTATTCCAGTTCATTCTGGTCATATCAGACGGGAACAAGGATCTTCTATACAGATCATATTACGTGACCCCCTTATCTCCATCGGAGTCTGTAGGTTGCCAGGAACATTGGAAATGGGACCAATCACCCTTTCTGTCACTATTACATTTTGCGTGAGAAGTGGCTCAGAGACTGTAGTGGAAGGTTGCACGAGAGAACCAGAGGCCGAGTAAGTCTCTGTTACCAAATAGCTACCATGCTGCAGAGGGTCAGGGATGGAAATAGCTGGCTGCAGAACAGAGCCGGAAGCAGACAAAGCAGAAGTTCCTTGACTGCCTGACAAAGTCTGGCCCCTAACAGATTCTGGCTGTTGGACTCCTAGGGAACAGCCACAGGGTTCCATGCCCAAATGGCTGTCTTTGGAAGGTGGCTGAAATCGTTGGGCTTCCTCATCGATCCCGAGGCTTATCTCTGCAAGCTTTTTAAATTTGGGGCCGAGCGAGTCCAAGAAGCTGTCATCCAGCTCATCGGCAATAAAACTGCAACAACCCAAGGAGCCCACGGGAGAACCGGGGGCACCCATTCCTTCATTATCATAGATCAGCAAGCAGTCATTTGCTTCCTGGGCATCGTCTTCCTCTGCACAGGCAAATGCTTTCTAAAGAGGGAGAAAAGTGGAAAAAATGAATTTTCAAAGAGTCTCAGCTGAAGAATGCAATACTGTTCGTAGAACTCAAGAATTGATCATGAATGTGTAATTTAGGCAATCCACAGAAGCAAAGTCATACTCTGGGTATCAGCAATCTTGTCAGAGAAATTATCTGGTGTTTGGAGAACAGCGTAGCTGTCATTCCTTCGGAATTGAGTCTGGCCTAGGCTCATGTTTTAAGTCTGGGTTTTGAAGGCACTGGCATGGATTTGGACCTACAAAACCAACGTGTTCAAAGCCTGGAGGTTATTCACTGGGCCCAGTGTGGGGGTCCCTGTATGTGCTTCTGTAAATGCATGTCTTTGTGTTTAGGGGTGGGGACAGGCATCCCACTTGCACCATCTAAGCCAGTTCTCAGCCAGACTGGGGCCTTGGCCTAGATTTCCGGACCCATGCGGGAGGGGGACCCGTAACGAGGGCCCACACCACATCTCAGAATATCCCAAGAGACCCATCCCAAACAAGCTCTCCCTGCTAGTCAGTGTGAGACTCTACCTTCTCAGCAACAGTTCTGATCCCAGAATTTACCAGGTCTGATACCAAAACTCTGTAGGAAATCTCTTCTACTGATGTACCAACCAAGAGGCAAGACCTGCCTCTTAAAGTCCTCTCTGTTCTTGAATCCGTTTTCTTTTCAGTTCTATGCTTCCTGACACTTCATCTGACTTTTGATCACATCCCTTTTTTCCCACTTTTATTTCTGGGTCATTAATTTAATGGTTCTTCAGCATTTTGGGGCATGGACTCTTTTGAAAATGTGAAGAGTACTATAACCCTGTCTCAGAAAAATATGCACCTTTGACATACTTTATGGTACAGGAAACAGAAAAGAGGCTGCTTTGTATTTCTGCAGAGGATGCTGCTGATCCTGGCACACAAAAGGTTTTGCTTTCCATTGTTATTCCAGTCAGAGGGAGGAGGCTCCCCTTGTTATATTCTCTCCCTTTGTGTCTACCTACCATTTTTCCTTTTGACTAGTGGCCCAATTTTGGCCATCACTTTAGGTTATCTGCATTATTTTGGCAGAAAACCCTATTTTTTTCTTACATTTTAACAAGCTGTAAGTACAACAACAATGAATTGCGAAGAAAAAAGATCCCTAATGTACATAAGATAATAAAGCCACAGAGTTTTCTACCACATTACCTGAGAAAAGTAGGAGTCCAGGAAATTCATGCTTACTGCTCCTTCACCATAGTCTTTATTGGTTCCTCCCGTAGAATGCCTTGTTCTCATTGTTCCAGACTGTCCTGCAGAACCAATGCCAAGTCCAGTGGCTCCTCCAAACCCTCCAGCGGCTCCAGATCCTGTAGCTGCTCCAAGTTTGGTGGTCAGTTCCATTCCCGAGGTTCCTTCCACCACTGTCCCTCCAGCGTATATATTCGTACAAACTTCTAAAAACAGGGAAGAAAATTCTGGAGCATCTTATGCTGTAATTTTTTTTTTTTTTTTACTGTTTTTTGATATCAATGGGCAGATACCCAGTAAGGCAAATAAGTAGGAGAGATTACAATTATATGAGTAGAGGTGATAAGAACATTCTAGGGTCTGTTATGAGAGAGTAACAGAGGACATGAGTCTGTACAGAGGATCCTCGCAGATGGAATAGCTCTGGAAACGTACTAATTAAAAAATATACACAGGAAATAGATTTTCAGTGACAACAGCCAGAAATAGAAAAGTAAAAACAGAATATTCAGCACACAGCCATGGAAAACTTGTAATGCAATGCTTATTTGTTTTCAAGAAAAAGAAGAAATTAAAATTAAGCTATCGTTGCTTTCAATATGGAAACCAAAGAGGAAACATCCATAATGTAATCATACAAATTAGCAGATGCTAATTTAGTGTCTTGGTGTCTGAAGACAATTTAAAGAGTTATGACTATTCTCCTTCCTTTACATTACACTTTCATGGAAAGTTAATTTTTTCTAGAGAATTCTGAGTATAGTTTTTGCTATGTAATTATAATCGGAGAAGCAGGTGAGGATTGGGGTAGCTGATAAAGGCAGACATTTTGCAGTGATCTCATACAGATTTTGTAGGCTAGACATTTAAAAACAATCTATTGCTAAGTATGGGGTTAAGATAAACTTTAACATTAGGCATTAGGTCATATTGTTCCTGTAGTTTATGCCTTAATTGTGGCATTGAGACAAGATGAATAAAATAGTTATTTGGTAAACCAAAGAAATAAATAAGTTCACCTATTTGAGAGCATAAATGATCTTGTCCCATTATGACTGAATATAAAACTGATACTTGAACTCAAATCTGGGTATTGTTAGTTTTGGGGTAGGAAGAAGGGCAATAAGATTGAGAATGTGCACATATGAGGTTTAACTGCAAATATTACCAATGGTAAAAATAGGCAGAGTTGAGTGGTAGGCACATAGTATTTGGTATATTTTCCTTTACATTTTTCTTTCTTTTTTTTTTTTAAAGATTTTATTTATTTATTTGACAGAGAGAGATCACAAGTAGGCTGAGAGGCAGGCAGAGAGAGAGAGAGAGGGAAGCAGGCTCCTTGCTGAGCAGGGAGCCCGATGCGGGACTCGATCCCAGGATCCCAAGATCATGACCCGAGTTGAAGGCAGTGGCTTAACCCACTGAGCCACCCAGGCGCCCCTACATTTTTCTACATGTGTGAAATATTTTCTAATTAAAAAATTAGTAAGTGACTGAGAGCTCTACTTCAGTTTATTAAAGTTTGGAAAATGTATAACAAATCTTTGGATATTAAAAATGTGGCATCAGTGGGCAATGAATTTCAATGAACTTATTGAAACCCAAGCTTGGCCATGGAATTGACTAATACACTAATAGTAAATCATTTCATTGAAACCCTATTTTAGTGGTAACATCTCCCAGCGTGTGTGTATATATATATATGAAAATTATTAAAAAATGATTTAGAACACTTTTTATTTTTCAGTATTGCTTATTTAACCCAGTATTGCCTTCAAAAATCCATTTGATGTTGACTTACCAGAATTTTCCATGAAATCAGCTCCATTGGCAGTGATAGGTGGCACGCGAATATTTGTGATTTCCTGCAAACCATGTTAAAGAAATAAATAAGTTTACATATGAACCAGTTTCATGGTACTATGGGTGAATATGGCTCTTTGCAAAAGGTGACTTTAGAATAAGTCCAAATTCTTACAGAAGTAACCATTTTTATGGTTGGACATCTGAAGAGCTGTGATTCTAAAAGGCTCCATTTATTTCAGCCCTCACAAAGGTCTTTAAAGGTCAAGAAGTGTCTTATTTTTATACCCTATCACCCCCTTTCCTATCTGAATATAAATCTAATTTTGTTCTATGTGTTTGAAAGAAACGTTTTAGAAACTAGGTCCTCACCTTGTCTTCAGGATGGGCTCCTTCAATTCCCCACGGATGAATTGTTCCTTCTGAACCATCAGGAACCGGAATAAATCCTCCTGTCACTCCCCGGATAGGACCCATCCCACAGTCACAGGTCAGCAGCAGAAGGGGGGCCACTAGTTATAAAGGAAAACAAAATATCGGAACATTTGAATCATTTGGAAACAATGCGACATAACAATTGTCTGAAACATTACGAAGAAAATACAGTATTTCAGGACTCATGGAAAATCTAATAGAAAGCAAAACTAGTTTCTACAAAATAAAATGTAAATTAAGCATCCTAAAATTTCATATGATTGTGAACTGGAGGATACAGATCTGATCATTCTTGTGATATGTATATTTTCTTAAAATAGTCACTGTTTGGGGCGCCTGGGTGGCTCATTGGTTAAGCAGCTGCCTTCCGCTCAGGTCACGATCCTGGAGTCCCAGGATCAAGTCCTACATGGGGCTCCCAGCTCCACGGGGAGTCAGCTTCTCCCTCTGACTGCTTCCCCTCTCATGTTCTCTCTCACTGTATCTCTCTCTCAAAAAAAAAAAAAAAAAAAAAGTCACTGTTGGAGGAAAGATAAAAATGGTCTTTGAGTTCTTAACTATTTTTTTTTTTTATATATATATATATATATATATATATATATATATATATATATAATTTATTTGAACATTTTGAGCAATGTATATTATGTCAGGGGAATATGCACCTGGATGGTCAGGATTTTAGGTGGGCAGGATAATCCTGTAATCTGGACTCTAGTCATCTCTTAGTAAACAGCAATTAACCAGCAAACTCCCTCCGCAACTAGAGTGATGAGCTAATACCATTGCACTCTTAATTATGACTTGAGAATCCCTAGCTTGGAGGGGCTTTCCTGTCTGAGTAATTTTCATTCTTCTGTGCACATCTGTAAGATCTGTCACATCTCAGCAATAAAGACTAACATCATTCTTATGCTAATGAATCAAGAGGAAAATACTAAACTCTCCCTTGAAGGGAAGTTCTGGAAAGCTAGGTAGTTTAGTGACCCCACCCCCACCTCTGGCTAGTCAGGATCTATTGAATCCTCATGTTTGAATTCTGTCCACCCAGAGGTAGTTTAGTTAGGGGTTGTAGGGTTTGAATTTTGGCTCCACCTCTCACCTGCTGGGTAAGTTATATCATCCTTTCTTGCCTCTAGTAATTCATTCAGAGAATGGGAGAATAAATATTATATACATCACCAGCTGTTATAAGGATTAAATGAGTTAGTAGTATAAGTAAAGGACAGTAGTGAGTGGTATGAGGATTTGCTAGTATTGTCTGGAAGGGCTATATCAGTTACACAAATTAGGTTGGTCCTATATTATAAATAAAATAGGTTGGATATAATTGATGTATTTTTTAAAATTTATATAGTGTTCATATAAATGATACTTCTACATGCTTTTTTAATTTATTGCCATTCTCAATTCTATGACTTTGTTAAGTGTGTGGGAAGAATTGAATGTTACTCGTTGACAAATTAGTTTTTAAGGTGATGGATATACACCTGTATGGTGAGTATTTTTAGATGGGCATAAATCATCTTTTAGAGATCTTGCTATCATTGTTATCTACAATATATATTTGGTTTTTATATATGTATCCAGAGAAACTTTTTAAAAGTCTTGAATATATTTCTGCAGACTAAAAAATGTGTGTTTTGTCATGCACAAAAATCAAAACCTGGCATTTTTTCAAATGGTAGGAGCACAGAAAGCAAATATGATTGTGGGATTAACACGGTGTACTTTCTTGGATTGCTATCCTGAGCCACAATCCCAAATGTACAATGGCTTGCCTTAGGTTATATCAACACCCTAAAAGTCAGTATTTCAAAATACTGACAAAACGCTACTATATGTATCTGTGCTGCCTCTAGTATTTGCAATTTCATTTAAGTGACAACTGAATTCAATGGTTCATCTGGATTTCTTAACTACTCTTCATATTTGTTAGTCTCCAAATCTTTGCCATGTAATGCCTTACACACTTATCCTTTCCTTTCCAGTCTCATGTCTAAATCTGGCTTCTATCATCTCTTTGAAACTAGTAGAAGAACCTCCTAACTGTTATTTCCTTTCTAATTTACGGTACACAGCTTGGCCAATGTTATCTTTTTAAAACAAAATTTGAACATGCTAGGCTTTTTTCTCATAGCAACTCTTTTTTCTCATAGCTTAAAGCACAAACACTGTAACATATGTATGTAAGCCCTTTCAAATTGGTATCAGTGCATCTCCAGTTTCATCTCCTTGACTGTCCACAATCTCCCCATGCATTAGCCTCCCAAGGTGTGATTCCTAAAACATGCAAAGCGTTTCTGGCTTTGGCCCATGCTGGTACCCTTTGGGAACAAATATCCCTCTTTTTGTGCTTTCTATATCCTCCTCACTTTCCAACGCTCAGATTGATGATTCACCTACTCCACAAAGCCTGCATAATACCCCTTTGTATTCATTTCTATTATAGTTGCATCATAGTATCGTTTTTTCCATAGAGCTAGACATGCATAAACCTGTGAACTACATGAAAACCAGAATCAAGTTCCCTTTCCAGCAGGCTGCTTGTGTTAAGACTCACATCCATGTACTTGAAAAATCTTTGGTTTTGAAATTGACTAATATGATATTGAAAAACTGAAAGGTGAGTCAATTTCAGCTGTGAAATGAAACAATGCATGTTAATTGCAGAAGAGTAAACATTTTTGGGGAAGGTAGAAGAAGAATATATGGCATGTGTGGGAGGTTACTAGATGTGTGAATAGCAACTTCCTCCTTTTCTTTTTCTTTCTTTTTTGTAAAAAGAGATCTGAACAGATATGGTGAATATTAAGATCTATTAAATCTGAATGACGGTTGGTTATATGAGGGCTCGTCATGTAATTTTCTGCACCTTGTGGTTTAAAAATACTGTGCAAATTTAAGAAAAATTTAAATGAAGGGGCTGGCATAGACTTATTTATCATGAAGAAAAGCCTATAGTTCTATAATAAATTTGGGAAATGAATATGAATTTATCAAGGATTTTTCTTATTTATATAAGAATTTGCCATGAATTTCCTTTAAATAGAGACCTATTACATTAAAAATTCTATTTGATCACAAGACTTTGATTTAATTGAAGCATTTTAGAAACCTATCCATTGAATAAATAAATTTTACTTTTATTGAAAAATAAAACGTTTTATTTTTAAAATAAAAAAATAAAAGGGCTCCTGGGTGGCTCAGTGGGTTAGAGCCTCTGCCTTTGGCTTAGGTCATGATCTCAGGGTTCTGGGATCGAGCCCCGCATCGGGCTCTCTGCTCATCAGGGAGCCTGCTTCCTCCTCTCTCTCTCTCTGCCTGCCTCTCCCTACTTGTGATCTCTCTCAGTCAAATAAATAAACAAAATCTTTAAAAAAAAATAAAAAGCCCACATTCCCTAAATGTGTTTAATAAGCTTAATCTTATTAAGTGAGAGCCTTTAAGAGGGTGTATTTGTAGTGGTAAGCTATTTTCAGGAAGTGCTGGATTAAGCAATAACTTTCAGAGCCTATGATGTATTAATAATGTTCATTATAAAGCTCAAAGCCTATATACTTTACATTTTTCTCTAGATTTACTTGGCAAGGGTTCCTTTTCTATTTTATGTCTACAGAGAAGACATCTTAGAAGATGCTGCATTGTGGGTAAAAGCATTATTCTGAGGATGAACATTACTGGCGGTGTATAGAAAGTGTTCATGCTTAAATTTTTTTCTTGTTGATTCTCTTGGGCTGTTTTCTACCTGTTTAACATATATATGACTTGCCTTGTTGTGTTATGAATATAGATTATTGGCAAGCGACATATTAACTTTCAACATTTCCGGTTCTTCCTGAAAGTGTTACCCCAATCTTTGCCTGTAACACCATTAAGGAATGGTTGTACGTTGCAAAGATGGTATTTACCATGCAGCCCGAAGGCCTGATTCCCTATCAAAAACAGAAGTCAGCTTTGGCATACTCACATAGCAACAGCAAAAGACCAAGGAGTAGCAGGCCGATGGCAGCAGGCCCCAGCCTCCCTGATGTTCTGTTTCCAGCTGTGTATCCAGGGTCTTTATTCTTCTCTGAAGTTTTGCAGGTGTCCCTGTTGTCACACTGGCAGACTTCCAGAGTCAGGCTCTCTGGTGTCTCGCATTGTCTGTCCTGACTGTCGGTAACTGTGAGGGAGATACTGTGCGATCCAGGAGACAGTGGCTGCTGGGCATTTAGGAGTGCGGAAGTACCTGAGGACAAACAATCACACAAATCAGCAGCAGGACAGGCATCGTTTGCCCTTAAAACTACTTATTTGTATTAACAGACCCAGGTTGCCTTAAACATCGTTGTCCCAAATAGGGAGGCTGATAAGGTGAGGCTGGAGGAGTTCTGAGAGTGAGAAGTTGGGGTTCAGTTGGGTAAACAGGGCTGCACTTCCATCATGTCCTTTTTTCTGCCCCATATGGGACTGTTAGAGCTTCCCATGAAGACTCAGTTCTACCGCAGTTTTCCTCTTGAAAGGTGATGGAAGGCAGGTAACATTTCAATATCAAGCCCCCTCCCCTTGGACTTAGCCAATCTCCTGTATGTCTGCACCAACCCCCTGAATGCTTCTGTGGCCCTCTGGACCTATGCTTTCACTCTACGTCCATGTTTTTGTGCCCGACTTATTAAGACTGAGCTTCTACTTTGGCTTCCACTACTTCCGCTGATCCTGATAGTTTTCATCTGTGTGCGCAAAGGCCAGTGGTATAGGATGTTTTGAGGTGACAGCCTGTGGCCCACCTGACTCATGAACATGGATTATTCTCCGTTCTCCATTCCTATGTTGTCCCTTTCTAAGTGGGCTCCCTTAGCAGCTCTTGTAAGCTGCAGAGCTGTGTCAACTAAACCACTCTTAACATCTTAACCCCTTTGATGTTATGCCTGATCCACTCAGTCTAACCACTGTTGCCTTGTCCTGCTTCACTCAAGCCGCCATGTCCAATGCTAGGTCCTGTCTCTCTCTGATGTTTCTTTTGCAGGTTTTTCATTGGTCATATGCTGGTAAACCCATTTGGAGCCAAAAGCTACATGGATACTTTGGAACTAGGGACTTCCGCCTAGATCAGTAAGGGCTTAGGAAAGAAGACCACAGTGAACAAGAATGCTCTGGTGACTCTAGCAATGGTTGATACCTATGACTAGGGAACAATAGAGCACATTCATGGAGGGAATCAAGATTGGTTCAGCAAAGATCTAGAGACAAGTGAGAAGATTCTTATTAAGTTCAATGGCTATTTCTAGGAGACACCTAGAAAACATAAAACATGTAAAATTAGCATGATAAAAGTGAGAAGAAAAGGAAGGATGGATGATGAACTCTTTCCCACTGGCTAATAGGAATTTCAGTCCGCCATGCTGTCAAGATTCCTAACTAGTGACAGACTAAGTAGCACTTCCTATGAGCCTTGAACAGGCGACCCCTCCTGTGCTTCAAATCTGTTCACAGTCTGCCTGGTTAGGAAGAGTTTGTATAGTTAGAAATTTAAACAGCTGTGCAATAAAATTGATGGCTAACTCTATTCTTTTATGGTGTGCTGTGGAGGCAGAAATAAGACATTAAAAATACAAAACAATTAGATTGCACATAAAAAATATTAAATAGCACGAACATATCATTCCTCTTCTCTTTTGAAGAAAGAAGAAATTCATGAGGCTAGACCACATCTTCATTGCAAAGAACTTTTTCAATTATTCTTGGAAAAGACTTGCTCCCAAATGAACTCTTTTATCCCTCTGAAAATATAAAGAAGCAGCAACTTTTTCATTTACAAAAGCAAGTTTACTATTACTCACCATTGAGTGTTGTGATACTCCAGACAACTGGCAATTTTAGTGGTTGTTCCTCCAGAGAAAACGTGTAGGGACCAGAATACTTATTGTCTAGTGCTCTAGCTGAGACAACCACAGAAGGTTGTGAACTACAAATTGTTTTCTTTTCAAGGATGATTGTTGGACAATTTTCATTAAAACCAGGTACCTCAACATATATGGTGCCTGTAGATGTTTTACCTGTGTTTTCTGTAAGAATAGCATTTTAGAGTTAAGGACATATACAGAATACGTTGTACCCCAAAAAACCTTTTAAATGTCACTTGCATGCAGCCAACTTAGTATGTCTTCTCGTGAGAAATTATATTCGTTATTCTTACAAGTAAAAAGATGTCATTTAGTTTCTACATCTTGTAAAGAGCAAGCTTAAATTTATTAACTTGGCTGGTGTCTCTAGTAGCATAGGCTATTAATTTAATATGCTTGGAACCAAAACCTGTAAGGTGACGAATTCACTGATTACAAATGAAATCAACATAAAAACAAGTTTTCTTAAATGTATCCTACTGCATGAACCCAGCACTGTGTGGAAGATTTTTGCTCCTAAGGCTTAAGCCAAAGTATTTGGAATAAACAATGATTTATTTTTACTATCCAAGATACAAAAGTTTATTGAAGAAAATTTTTTCAGTGTTGACAATTAAAAACAATAAAGCAGTGAAGTAAAAATTTCTCTGTTGTAGGATTATGAATAATTGCTGTTGTTTCCCTTAGTACTTTTTGCTCTTTCCTCAGGTGATATGATTTTTGGCGTTTATTTTTTTGTTTTATTTTCTTATGTTTGCTTATTGCCTGAGCATTGCCAGGAGCCCCATTTTGAAATATTTCTCTTACCGTCTATGGCCAGAACCTCAGCTGTGATTGTCCTGTTAACTATGAAAGTAGAATCCCGATCGATGTTTTTGACAAATTTGATCTGAGCAGTTTTTGAATCAATGAATAGTAAACCACCATCATTCCGTCCCATGATATACCTGTTTATGACAGAAAAAAATATATAGTTTTTTTTCAAATATGGAATGTTTACCTGCTTAATGAAAATAGCTGATTTTATGTTTAATGTATTTATACTTAATTTAAGACATGGAAATATACAGTGGCAGAAAATCAGCATATTAGCGTGGACAAGCAGTATTTCATAATCCCTAAGTATTAGTCTGATTTTTCAATTTTCTTCTCTGTGCAATAAAGTAATTTCTTTCTTGCTCTTACAGTATCTGCTTTGCCTGGTGTTCTTATATTTGGGGCATATTTGTTTTGTGTGTACAGTTTTATTTGATTGCACCGTGGTCTAATGGTGAACTACTCTTTTCATTTTTATTTATTTATTTATTTATTTTTAAAAAAGATTTGTATTTATTTATTTGACAGACAGAGATCACAAGTAGGCAGAGAGGCAGGCAGAGAGAGGAGGAAGCAGGCTCCCCGCCGAGCAGAGAGCCTGATGCGGGGCTCGATCCCAGGACCCGGGGATCATGACCTGAGCCGAAGGCAGAGGCTTTAACCCACTGAGCCACCCAGGCGCCCGGAACTACTCTTTTTAAACTCAACTGAGAGTTTCTGTAAGATCTTTTCCTGATTCCTCTCCATAGGCTAAGGCATTCTTCTCTTAGTTTCCACTTTAACTTATGCTCATGTTTTCTTTGCTCATAGCCCAGGATGTTCCAATGATTTGGCTATAAGTCTCTTCTTGAGTTAGCCATTTCCTTGAGTTGGCCCCTTTGTGTCTCTTTGTATTCTTGGCATATAAAAGTTTATATTATTTTGTAGTAGCTTATAAATTAAAACCACATCAGAATAATGTAAAAACAGTCTTACTTGACATATGAGGCAGTTTTGTTAGTATCCTCATCAATGGCTTGATACATTCCCAGAACATAATTGATCAGTTTTTTACTACTTATGCCTTTCTGCACAGTAAATGTCTTGGAAGCAGGACGGAATGTAATTCCTTCTTTAATGTTGACTATTTGGATCGTGACTGGGGTTGACTGCACTCGATACTGAGAAATTATTGATTGGTGAAATTCAGCTTTGTTTTTGACAGCAATACCAAGTTGTACATTTTGTAGTTGTTCATAATCTAGAGCCTAGAGTAATAAATAAATAAATAAATAAATAAATAAATAAATAAATAAAATGAGAAGGAAAGAAGTATCACAGAGATACAATCCAGCAAACCCAGAATAGGATAAGAGAACTCTATGTCCCATGCTATGAATGACCCTTTTATTTCTATATACCAAAACAGCCTCAGAAGTCATTATAATGTTGAGATGGAGAAACCATTGAAATTCTTAACTCATAAGACCTCACCTTGGTAACTGATATTTACAAAATGGCAGACCTCTTTTTAGACTACTAAAACATCATTATAGTTTCTTTAGGCTGTGTGGTACAATGGAAAGAATCCTGAATTTGCTATGATAGCATGGCTTGAATACTAACTAGTTCTGCTGCCTAATAGTGGTGTGACTCATGGCACAATACTTAATTTCTCTGATTCTCAAATTTTTACTTTGAAAAAAACTGCAAAACTTCACCTCATCAGATCATTGTGAGGACTGCACAAAATTAGTCCCATAATACATTCCTATAAATAAATGGCAGTTATAACCATTCCCAGAATAGCTATTGTATTCATGTGTAATAGTGTCTTTCCTGACTGGAAATTCCTAGGTGGCAAAGGCAAACTCTCATAATAAATTTAGTTGGCAAATATGCCTCTGCAAAGCAGTGTGGGGGGGGGTGGCCCCCCAACTCTTTGTAGAACCATTTTTAGATGGTCTTCTATGATAACTATTTGTTTGACCCATTAATTGGGGTGGCCCAAGTCAAGTCCTGAGGAATCCCAGGAGGGCTTTTTCTTTCACTGATATATTTTTCTGAGTGTGATGAGATAAGAAAATATTCATTTGTGTTACATTTGTACATTACTGAAAATAATTAAGGTAAGGGATCTGGATTTGAGTTTTTAAGTTTGCAATGACTAGTTTTGTGAGCTCTTCCAGTGGCATGGAAGAGAAAGAGTAAGTGGAAGAGAAAATATAAATAGGTAATTATAATACAATGGGTAAGTGACAGAAGAAATTATAGAGTCTATGTGCAAAAATGAGTCAACACTTCTGCTGGGGACAGTTAGGAAACCTTCTGAGAAGTTTCAAGGGAGTTGAGTGTTGAAGGTTGAAGGTTGAGGAGGAGTTTTTCAGGCAGAGGTGAAACATTTGCAAATGCCCAGAGTTACAGAAGGTGACAGGGTGAGAGGCCTTGTCCACAGTTCTGAGGAGGCCGAAGGTCATCTTCAAGGCCAGCAGCTGATCATCAGTCCTGGCTGCAATTAGAGTTCTCTGTGGAGCCATTAAGTCCTGTCTTCTGGGCTTCCTCACAGACCAACTGAACCAATTGTTCCTATATTCCCACTGGTGATGCAAATGAGCAATGAATGGAGGGCCACTTTCACAGCCAATGGAGAACAAGGAAAGATTTTAAAGAACAGAGTAATTCACATTGGTAGTAAGAGGATGAAGGGAAGTAGAAACAGGAGGTAAGGAGATCTATCAGGAGTGATTACAGTCATGTAGGAGTAAGAAGGAAAGGCCCTGTAGATCACAGGCCATAGAAAGGAAGACCAGAGCCAGACTTTAAGGACAATTTCTAGGGCAGAATTGGATGACTGGCTGTTTGTTGTGAGGAAATGTTATGATGGAATAATAAGGCCTAATTTCTCTGATTCTTATCTAGTTTAGAAGACTAGATGACACCAAGACAGGAGAGAGGGAAGACCTCATTTTCAGGGGTTGCTGGGAGTTTATAACACACCCTTGCAAGTGATGGTTATAGCCTTCCCTCTGAAAAGCAGAGTAATAGGAACTGCTCACATGGCTTCCTGCATTCGGGGATTCCAGCAGTTTCCTTGTTAAGGGTCTCTTATGGGTCTGTCACTCTACTGGACTCAAGGAAATAAAGAAAGTCCTATAGAGTTCAGTATGTGCCAAGGAATGCCTTCAAATAGTGGTTATTTTTTCTAGTCTATATCGTGTCCAGGCAGAAATATCCTTATGTTATTGAAGGTTGGATTCTGTATTTGTGTGTGTGTGGGGGGGGGGTGACTGTTACAGCCAAGCATGTTAAATGGAAGGTTTACTCAATTGCTCTTTTTTGTATTGCAGATTTAATTATATATGCCCATTTCCCAAAAACTTGTATTTTCCCCCTCTTATGACTGTAACTAATCCACTTAAAGCAAGGTGACAAATTCACAAGCCACAATATCATGTATTCTTGTCCTTTCCCATCTTCAGTTGTAGAGAGTAAACGAGATTAAGTCAAGAAATTGGTTTCACATTCTTGTGCATTAAGCAAGCGCACCTATAAATATACATATATTAGTGTATTTGTGTTTACTATGATAGCTTGGAAGGAAATAAATCATCCTTCCTGGAAGGAAATAAATTTTTTTAAAAAAGCTACCCTTAGGTAATGGGGCTATGCATGTGTCTTTAAAAAATTCTATCTACTTTTTATTATTAATAAGTGAATAAAGTTTATCTGCAGAAATGATAGTTGGGCTCATATGGAATATTTTTACCATGGAAGGGAAATAGGCCTTACCTTAACCACCTTCAGGATGCCTTCGTTCGTTCTCGGATCAGTTTGTATCTCAAACCAATTCCCTTCATTTCCAGAGGTGAAGAAATACACTGCAAGCCAATTATCTGTGAATTCTTCGTCCCAATCTGTAACTCGAAATCGAAGCAACTCAGAACTTAAAGTATTTTCCTCAATAAGTGCTGAATACTAAAAAGGAGAGAAGCAGAATTTAAGAGTTCTTGTCAGGTTTTATCTAAAGAGATTCTGAGTAGAATTAATCATTAATTCTCACATTATGTGTTGCCTCTTGCTGGTTACTAAATTCTTATATTTTACAAAAGCTTATTTTAAAGAAAAGTGCAGAGAACCTAAATAGAAGCCAGCAGGCAAATGAATACTGAATTAGAATGACAAAATGAAAAATAAAAAATATATATCATGATTCTTCAAGGAGGACAAGGTGTACCTGAGAGTCTTGGAACACTGGGAAATTATCATTAACATCTTTCACTTTGATACTACATTCACATTGAGTTGATAGCCCTTCTCCATCTTTGTCGGCACCACTCACAACCAGCCGATAGCTGCTAACTTGCTAAATTTGGAGAAAAACAAAGAAAAATAATTTATCTCCCGTGCCAAGAATACAAAGAAAACTACCTGCTTCCTATGGGTAAAGAGGTGAAAATATTCAAGCTCCTGGTTTATTCTCTAGAAGGTTCACTTGAGTTGTTTCATTGTCCAGCATGGAGGAGGCATGTGGGGCCCTGGAGACCAGGTTTCTCTTTTGTGAGCTTCTTAGGGCAAGAAAGTTACACTTGGAGCAAAAACGGGCAGTGAGGATGGTAGGATGCTTATTTGAGGGAAGTTCACTAATAGAGCTTTCCTATTGGTCTATTTGAGAATCATTTGCATAAGTAATATAAAGTCTGATGGGATATTGTATGTGATCAAGATGGCACTGGTGGTGGTGATGGTAGTTATAGTGGTAGGATAATGGGGAAGAGAGAGCAAGGATTCTTTAGTGTTCTGGAAGCAGGGGTAAAATTAAAACTAGTCAGTAGAAAAAAAATGTAACCTCAGAGAAGGATTTCTTCCAGAAAGAAATTTCTTCTATCATCTAAGAAATTTATTTTTCTTCCACCTAATAAGGAATTAGTCACAGTTCAGTCTTTGTCCATGTATGCTTCCATGCCTTCTTTTACTCTCCACTTGACCTCCCACTGATATGCTGATATTTGTTTGTTTAGGGTACAACTGATTGGACAGTTCTTAGGTACACATCTCACCCCACTAGAATCATATTGAAATGCAAACAATTTCCCTAGATTGGCCCAGTTGAGTACGGAGAACATCTTTTCCTTTCTCCTTTCGTCCTCAGGTAAAGTGGGGTCACCTCTCTCAACTTTCTTACAATCAAATCTTTTATTATCGAATGTTCCCAAATGCCTTGCTTTACCTCTCGATCAAGAGAATTGGTTAAAGTACGGACTTCCCCAGTGTGTCTGCTTAGGAGGAACATGGGTATGCCTGCAGGTTCCTGAGAGACAATTTTGAAGGCTATTTTAGAGTTCAAGTGGTTTGGTTCATCTGCGTCCGTGGCATTTAGTATCATCACCAGTGAGTCTAGAAATACAGAAGAATCTCATGAAAGAATATGTAAGAATTGACATTCTTTTCACATTATATATTCAACACAATTTCAAATTGACCTTTGTTTTTTAAAATCTTAAATCTATCTGTATGCTCAAAAATGAATTAAATGTCAGTTGCAGTGTCTCTTACTGTCTTTCTTAATCAGGCGGAACTGTGCTGCCTTCTATAAAAATCTTCCTGTTAGGGTGCCTGGGTGGCTCAGTGGGCTAAAGATTCTGCCTTCGGCTCAGGTCATGATCTCAGGGTCCTGGGATCAAGCCCCACATGGGGCTCTCTGCTCAGCGGGGAGCCTGCTTCCCTTCCTCTCTCTCTGCCTGCCTCTCTGCCTACTTGTGATCTCTGTCTGTCAAATAAATAAATAAAATCTTAAAAAAAAAAACCCAAAACTTCCTGTTGTCCTTAAGCCTTGGCTGTGTTGGAGTTGAGACTATTTTCTGTCTTAATTTCTTCCCTTGATGGATGGCATTGTCTTTCTCCCTTTTCCCCAGATTATCCAAGTAATTTAGTGTGTCTCTTCCTTTATAATCTAAAAAGTCTAGCTGATGCATCCAGGCTACCTAAGGCCACCCCTGTAGCTTTATGACTACCAGGTACTCATGTGACTTATGTATAGAGAGTAAGATACTATTAAGTTCATAACAGGACCATGACCTAGAGATACAATGGCAGTGGATAATTAGCTCAAATAAAAATATTAGAAAGTAAGACCCGGGTTATTTGGATGAATTTTTCTGCAAGACTACTGGTAAAACTAGGAGAATAAATTAGCTTATAAAATGATGACTATAGTGATACCTGTATTTTAAAATAAAAAAAAATTAGAAGTGGTAGATACTGTAAGGGACTTACTTGAAGCACTATTTTCTTCAATTTCTCCCACAAATATACTTTGTGAAAATACTGGAGGATTGTCATTGACATCTAAAATTTTAACCGTTAGTATAAGTGGTTTCTCTACATCTTGTCCTAGGGCATTTAGAGCATGACACGTGATCTAGAAAAAGGAGGGAAATGTTACTTAATATAAACTCAGTTTGCATACTACTAAAACTTGTAGAAATAAAGCCCCTACTAGCATATACAGACTTCTTTTGCACAGAAGAAAAATGTTCCCCCCAAAACTAGACAAAGGAAGTAAAGGTACCCACAGTGGGCAGGCCAGTTAGGCAAGCTGCCCCTTCTTCCAAGCTGGTACTGTCATGTGATACAAAGAGTGTGAAACTCTCTTTGCAGGATGCATGTTGGACTTCAATGCTTACTCATGCACCCTCCTAGTAAATTCCTTCAGGGGCACATCCAGAAGTGAAGGCTCTTTATAAGAGGGACGAACATGGTTATTTGTTGGTGGAATTTTTCATGCACTGATCTCTCTTCTAAATTAACCAGTAGAAGAGTAGCACATTCTAAAGCCACCAGGCACACACATAAGGGTGCCCAATATTGAGGACATAAACTTACCAGGAAGCTTGGAGTTTCCTCACGATCAACTATGGCTGTTATGTTAATTTCTCCAGTGTTTTTGTCAACAACAAAGATTCCAAAAGGGGGTTGATCAATTCCCATTCCAGAAATTCGGTAGGTAATTTTCTGGGTTGCTTGGAAATCTGAAGTAATCTGAAGCCCCAAACACCCAAAATGTGAATGTGATCATCAGTCAGGCCTTTTCCTTCCCATTTCTCCACCTTCATAGTCTTAAGTCTTCTTTTTATTTTATTCACTCTTTCTGACCCTGTCATTGTTACTTTTTGCTTGATGAATACTGGGAATGTGAAATATTTCAAACTGTTGCATCTATTGACCAGCATGGACCAACACATATTAATCATTTTGGCTCTAGAATGTTTGCTCAGATTGTGGCCCCCATGGTGATGTTAAAATGTGGAGAGAAAGTCATGGATACTTAATATTGAAAAGACTACTTCTGAATGCTCCTTTCCTTAGCAGAGAACATTTTTTGAAAAAAAGACATTTATTTAAGGGTGCCTGGGTGGCTCAGTCATTAAGTGTCTGCCTTCGGCTCAGGCCATGATCCTAGGGTTCTGGGATCAGCAGGAAGCCTGCTTCTCCCTCTCCCACTCCTCCTGCTTGTGTTCCCTCTCTCGCTGTCTCTCTCTGTCAATTAAATAAATAAAAATCTTTTAAAAAAAGACAATTATTTTAGTTTAAATAGGGGGAGCTGGAGAGAAAAAGGGGAAAGGAACTATACAGTAAGTGTTAAACATGTTTATTAAAATAAATTATTTATTATTATTTTATTTTTATTATTATAATTTTCCAGCTTTTTAATATGGAAAATTTCAAATATATATAAAGTTAGATTAGTATAATGAACCTGATATATCTCATCACCCAGTCTTAATCATTACGAATACATGGGTCCCCAACCATTTATCTTATTGTCTTATCCATATATGTATTTTTTGTTAGCATATAATGTATTATTTGCCCCAGGGGTACAGGTATGTGAATCATCAGTCTTACACAATTCACAGCACCCACCATAGCACATATCCTCCCCAGTGTCCATCACCCAACCACTCCATCCCTCCCTCTCGCCCCCCAGGCCCCCGGCAGCCCTCGGTTTGTTTCCTGAGATTAAGATTCTCTTATGGTTTGTCTCCCTCCCCAGTCCCATCTTGTTTCATTTTTCCCTCCTTTCCCCCCATAACCCCCTGCCCTGCCCCTCAAATTCCTCATCATATATTTTTTTCTATTTGTTTGCTAGAATCCAGATCTAAGCAAGGCATATTCATTGAAATTGGTCCCCCTGTCTCTTAATTATTTTTTATTACTCTAGAAGCCATAGTGCCTTCATCTCATTCTATATTATTATTATTAGGGTTTTTTTTTTTTTTATGTGGTTGAAAATATCAGGTTATTTGTTCTATGGACTCCCCAGTCTGCATTTTGATAAATGGATTGCCATATCATTTTAATTTATATCTATTACATTTATTCTGAAACTGCATATTGCCCCTGCTGATGTGACTTACTTTGGCAATTGGATTCCTTTTCGAGTTGTCTTCTCTTTCTCGGCAGGGTTTTGCAAATTTCACCCATTCACGTTTGTATCTCCTTTTGCCTTGTACAGCAGTATCATCTTCTCCGTGTTGACCCTTTGTCTTATGTGAAAAGGCATCCCATTTTATTATGCACATTGTTAAAAAGTTTTGATTTGAGTATTGCTTATCAACACCTAGGTTGTTTCATAGTATCTAGGACTGTCGAAAGTCTACTTTGCTTGACCTCACACTTTGTCAAGCAAAGAGAGAACATTTAATATCTAAAACAATTACAGAACCATATGGTTTTTAATACTGGCATTGAATCATATTTTATATTTCCTTTATATATTCCATAATATCTCACTGCTCTGGGTACCTAGGATGTGTTTAATAAAAACCTGTTGATTTGTTTAAAATAAGAAAGAACACATAAGATAAAGTACAATAATGACATTTATACATTCTTGGTATTTAAAATTGGGCTGGTTTTAATTTTATTTTCACAGTTATTTAATAGTTTTAAACATTAAAGAAATATTTACTTTTCCCAATACAATTTTAATTTTTTGAACTATTATTTTAGTTACAAAAAACTTTTTCATACTTTACCTCTATTCGCAATTCTCCATGAACCAATATGAGCACCTGTAGACATTTAAATAAAATCAAGTTAAATGTGAATTCTTCTAATAAATAATTACAAAGATAATCCTGTTCATACTGTAGTTTGTTTCTATTTCAAAAGAAGTGGATTTGTTGAAGCAGTATTCAAAGGGTAAACTCCTCTCAGGAAAAAGAAAATATTCTCAGTATAAACAAGTTCTTACAGTTTTTTAATCTGACTTTAGAGTTTTAATGGTATACAAAAGAATCTACTGAATTATGCAAAACTGTGCCAAACAGTTGCAACAACCAGACATATTTTACCTGGCTGTTCTATAAAGACTTTCTAAGAACTCTGGAAGATACTGCTTTGGGAAACAGTGGTGAGCATCATTGTGATAAGCTATTAGTTGTGCTTTTTTGTTGTATGACAGTGGAGAGGATGGAATAGAACTAGTCAGGTTTAGAGAGTGGAACATAAAAGTTGGGGATATGCTGTTCCAATCATAAGTACGGTGTATGTGGGATATGGACCTGCTAATCTCTGCCCTGTTATTTCAGCTTAAATGTTGAGCTTAATTTTCACACTGATCTGAAAAAATTAAATGAGGATAAAATGAAGTCAGGCAGTCTAGGGTCTTTACTTTCTCAAGAACATATGGGATCTTCTTTTGTGTCACGTTCCATCTTGTTTTTTACCTAGAATGCATTTTTTTTTAACTTGAATATAGTTAACACACAATGTTATGTTAGTTTCAGGTGTACAATTTAGTGATTTGACAAGTTTATACATTATGCTATGCTCACCACAAGTGTAGCTGCTATGTGTCTTGTTACATCAGTGTTACAATATTACTATTCCTTTTGCTGTGCTTTCTATTCCTGTGACTTAATTCATTCCATACCTAGAAGCCTTTATCTTCCACCCCTCTTCACTCATTTTGTTCAGCCCCCCACCATTCTCCCCTCTGGCAACCGTCAGTTTGTTCTCTGTATTGATAGGTCTGATTCTACTTTTTG